TATACACTGAATTGGTTACCACTGATTTCAATGAGGAAGCCAACCTCTGAATATCAACTTCATGAAAAGCAAGGAAGAAAAAGAGAAAGAAAGTGAAGCTGTGATGAAGTCATTAATTTGCTGAATGAAATAATTTTGGAATCTACTATTCTGCACTTCCTATTATGTATCCTAATACGGTTCTTTTCAAGCAAATTTAAGTCAGGCTAAATAAAACCCTATTTATGTAGTCAACAGCATCCTAATTAATATGGAAAGAAATCAAATCATTTGGAATTCTCTTCTTAATGAGACAGCTCAAATAGTATATGTTACCATGTGTTAGCACCTTAATCCTTAGAACTGTTGATAATGATATTTTGGTCATAAAAAGAAATCTAACTATCCCATCTGCCACACTGTCTGTCTTAAGAGTCACTAAGAAAAGATATTGGTGGGTGCCTGGGTGGCTCAGTGGTTTAAAACCTCTGCCTTCGGCTCAGGTCATGATCTCAGGGCCCTGGGATCGAGGCCCGCATCCGGCTCTCTGCTCAGCGGGGAGCCTGCTTCCTCCTCTCTCTGCCTGCCTCTCTGCCTACTTGTGATCTGTCTCTGTCAAAGAAATAAATAAAATTAAAAAAAAAAAAGATATTGGTAAACATGGATGTATCTTTCTTAGAAATTTAAAAAGAAAAAAAACTTATACATATTTATAAATTTTTGCTTTTTATGTCAACAAATTCAAAAAAGGAAAGAACAATCTTAGGTCCGTTCTAGGGCATGCATTTAACTGACAATAATAATCAGATTTAGTTTATAAGAAAACTGAGGCAACTCATATATGTAACAGTTTGTAATTCACGTATAAACAGTGCATTTTATATGTGCACAATCTTTTGTATCTGTGGAAACAACTACTATAATTCATATAAAAGAAAAACATGTTCACTTTATTTATAGTGATACGTCATGCTTTATTAATAACAAAGGAATCAAAACCCAAGGGTTTTGTTTGATGGCTATGTAAAAATAAATCTGGCTTATTAACTACATGTCTCATTAGTTCTTTATGGCAATACACAAATATTGCCAAGCAAATACTAAAAGACTCAAGTTAATTGTTGCCAAGTTGCTGGGGCTAACCATCAATTAAAGAAACAATTAAACCAAGGAAAACATTCAAACTTCTGTAGTCATAGCTCAAGGAAACAGAGGGCAAGAACAAGAGGTGACAATATTCCGAGTCCACCCTTGAATTCTTAGTATCTGACTCTAGCAGAATGAACCAAAAATTTCAGTTTAGCAAAAGAGATGTGTGACTTCGGATATATCAAACCTCACAACAGCTGGCAGGCACAATCAAACCTAAAAAATCTAAAAATCTATTACAGCAGGAAATGGAAATCTGCACTACCAAAGGGTAAAGATGAACATATATATTGTTGTATCAAAAGGAAGAGTAGGGGCATCTGGCTGGCTCAGTTGGAAGACCATGTGATTTTTGATCTCCGGGTCATGAGTCGTGTGTTGGGTATAGAGTTTACTAAAAAATAAATAAACCTTTTTTTAAAAAGGGGAAGGATAAATGAGGAATGGAAATCCAATGCAATAAGGGAAACGGCTGGCAAATGGTTCAACAGTTTTCAAACTGCTCACTGCTAAACCATTATTGTTGGAATCAAATTTGTGGCATCTTATCAGGACCACACCCCTGGGGGCTGCTTAATAAATTACACTCAAAACTGTCAGTCTTGAGAATACATACTTCTTAGAAACTTCAACTTAAAACAGAAACAGCTGAAGTAACAACTATTCCACCATTGCTTTTATCCTGAAGGCATGAATTCTTAAAACATCCAGTTAATGAAGGACAAAATTTTAAAAGGTGGAAGGAGCCTTAGAAGTCACTTCTAACCCAAACTCCATATTAGGCTAGGAGAATCTAATGAATACATTAAGCAAAGACTTTTGAGAGCTTTCTATATTCAAAATTCAATGTTGGTTGCTAACGGTGACACAAATACATCTAAAACCTGATACCTTCTCTCAAGGAATCTATAGGATGCCCCCAAGGAATTATAGGCTGTGCAACCGAATACTGTACCATAAATAACGATAAAAATAAAATCCTAAGAACCAAGAGGAGTCATCCAGCAAGATAAAAAGCTTCAGGAAGTGCTTAAGTGATGTTTGAGTTAAATGTGGAACAAGAGATCAAATCTGGACATTTGGCAATACAAGGGAAGGACATTCCAGGCAGTGAGAGGAGAATAACTCTGAAGCCCTATACAAACAGACCTCTTTTCCAAATACTCTTTCCTTACATAGTCTGCTCTGGCCATGCTATTTCTTGGTGTTGTTCAAAAAGGACAGAATCTTCAAATAGCCATTCCATCCTCAGGGCCTTTGCATCAATTGCTCCCTCTGCCTGGAATGACCTACCCTCAGATACCTGCACGTCTGGCTTTCTTACCTACTTCAAGACTTTGTTCGAATGTCACCTTCTCGGTGAAGACTTACTTGACTATCCTATTTTAAACTGTCATCCTCATACTCCCTTTTCACCCTACTCCACTTTATTTTTTTCACAGCACTTACTACTATCTGACATGGTATACATATTCTACTTCTTATTAGCTTTGTCCATCCCCCAGCCCCCGCCAAAAGAGCATTAGTTATGTTTGTTCATTTCCAGATTTTAAAACCCTGCCTGGACATGGTAGGCATGAAACGAACATATGCTGACAAACTGGCTGGATGGTATAAAGGAGTGGAAAAGATTTCTCCCCTCAAATCAGTTATATTACATTATTCTTGACCAAGAAAAACAAATATATAGTTGGCTAAACCCAATTTAGGAAAAACTAATAATTAATAGAAACAGTTCCTGGCATTCCCACTTCTACATGTCCAGTGAACACTAGGTTCTTCTTTTTACACCTCTTAACTCCCTGTCCCCAGTAACACTGTCACTAATGCAATGGCCAAAAATGACACCAGAATTGCCATGATGCCAGGACTGCCTCCTCCCACAGTAACCTTCACTGCTACCTCTAAGTAAAGGTAAAAGGCACTTCTCCCATTTTTTCGGACAGGAGAAAGATGTATTCCTGGATTCCCAAATTAAATACATCTTTCTGTTGATGCTTAAATTCTGAACTACATGAGTGGGTTACACTGATACCACGAAGCAGCCAGGAAACTTACTATTTTGAGTACTGATATTAAGTGTAGCTATGAAAAAACACATCTTTGATTTGTTTCAGTAACACAAAACACCTTTCCTACCCTGCAAATGGATGACCCAGGGAATACAGTTAAGAAAAAGATTCCTTCAGTAAAGACCAATACTGCATTTTAGGAAAATGGGTAACAACGTACAGTTAAGGGCATTTTTCCCCCACTCAGAAGGATCAACTATGATTTTATTCTGGGTTTAAAAAAAATCATATCGAGGGGCGCCTCATTATGATAAAAAAAATCATATCGAGGTGGCTCAGTCGTTAAGCATCTGCCTTCGACTCAGGTCATGATCCCAGCATCCTGGGATCTAGCCCTGCATCGAGCTCCCTGATCAGCGGGGGCCTGCTTCTCCCTCTCCCACTCCTCCTGCTTGTGTTCCCTCTCTCACTGTGTCTCTCTCTGTCAAATAAATAAATAAAATCTTTTAAAAAAAATCATACCGAACTCAGAAACAACAGCGTTAGTATTTGAATTACACCATACTAAAACCAAATGGGAACAGAGGAAAATACTCCTTATCACCCACAGAAGCAAAACTACTTAAGGAAATGAGGAATAAGCTCAAGATTTCTCACTTCGGCTAACACCTCCACAGACTGCATTATCATTTTAAGCCCAGTGACATTTTCACATTTCATTTTCAACGGCAGGCATCATTTCCATCTGGGGTTTATCTGCACAGAAGTGCTAGCCTTGGCACGATTTCAGTATTTAATTGAAAGTTCATTTCTGACTCTAAGCAGAATGCCCCCACACGACCCAATAGTTAATATCTCTACAGGAATCCTCACACGGACAGCTCCATTTTACGTTTTACCTAGCGGTGAATTTTGCCCTCAGACAGGCACCTACGTCTGTAACCCTCATTTACCCACCCCCCCTTAAAACCTCCTGCATTTTCTGCAACACCATTTACACTGCACGGAGAGTTTTACGAATGTGACCATTCTTCCTAAGTAGAAGAAAAGCTACAGACGAGACCCCATCCCCTTAGGGAGCGAAATGCCAAACCAGCAGCTGCAATGGGAACTTTCAGGTTAGGGATGGTCACAGCTGTCACGGGTCAAACGTCGCCGGCTACTGCAGGACCTCCTTCACGGCCACTAGGGGGAAAGCTCCATTAAAAAAAAAAAAAAAAAAAAAAAAAAAAAAAAATGTTCGGTCCTCACTTTTTTTTTCCAATAAGGAGGCACCTGAAAGTCACACCGGGCGGCCGAAGGCTGGACCGAGCACCCAGGGGAGACGGTCCAGAGCGAGCGCTCAGGCGAACGCAGGAAGCCCCAAGTTCCTGCGCGACGAGGGGATTACCGGGAAAAACAGGAGCCCATCTGTCCACGGGAGGAGAGAGAGAAGTCGGCCGGGAGAGGCTGCGAGTCAGGGAGGTGGGGCCGCGAGCCCCAGCCCCTCGGCGCGCCCCGAGCTCGGGCGGCGGGCAGGCCGGAGCGCCGGGTGGGTTCGCGAGTGCAGGTGGGCTGCGGCCGCCCGACCGCCGAGGGCCCCCGGCCCCGGGAAGTCCCCAGGGCCTCGCCCGCGCCTCAGGGAAGCCGCCCAGCCCACAGACCGGCGGAGGAGCCGCCCGGGTAGAGCGACGTCGGAGGACAGGAGCGCGGCGGGAGGTGGGCACCTCGCTCGCCCCGGGCGGGAGGCTGACAGCCTGGGAGCGCGAGGCGGCCGAGGGCGCGCGAAGGGCCGCGGCGCGCCTCAGGGGGTCGCCCTGAGGGCGCTGCCAGCCGCCAACGACTCCCCCTCGCGCGGATCTGCGGCGGCGGGATACTCACGTAGGGCTGGTAGAACTTGGAGAGCCGCGGCTTCCCGTGGTTGTTGAAGATGAGGATCGCCTTGATCATGGCTGAGCCGGGCCGACCGGGTGGGCGCTGGGGGCCAGGGCGGGGGCGGGCGCGTGAGGCTCGCCTCAGGATCTCACCGGCGATCCTTCCCCACCCGCCCCCTCCCGCACGCGCGCGCGCGCGCTCCCGAGCCACGGGACGGGGCCTAGGCGGGGCCTGGGCGGGGCCGACGTGAAGGGAAGCGGAAACATCTCTAGCCCCGAGCCCGCTAGTCAGAGAGGCGCCTGCGCACTACGCGGCGTGCAGGTACATGGTTCGCAGACTCCTTCCCGAGGATTGTTGCCGTGCAAAAGCGTAGTTGCGGGATTAGTAGTCAGGGCTCCGTGGCATGTTCCACGTAGAGGACCAACTGACAACTCCAACTTTCACCGTTGGGTTGAGTTCCCCCGGCCACCACACGGGCGCCTCTTCGGCGACGCCCCCTGTCGTAAACCCCGCCCCTTGGACACGCTGAGCCACCACTTCCGCCCTCGCCTTCGACTGAGCAAGATGGCTGAGGAGTCAGAGTCGGCGCTGCAGCTTCCTCCCTCAACCGCTGCTGAAGGCGAAGGACCTACGGAGGTCTCCCCAGAGACAGGCACTCCGGAGCCCCCTTCTTCCGCTGCGGTCTCCCCGGGGACAGAGGAACCTGCCGGCGACACCAAGAAAAAAAGTAATTTTGAGAGCAGTTTCTTTCCAGGCAGAGGCGGGAGGTTTAGATTGCGTCCGACTGGGTCCCTGGCGGTCAGTAAAGGCAAACTTTCGAGGAGGATGGGCCCAGTCGTGGCTTTTGACCAGTGAGGAGAGAGGAAGTGTGGTTTTCGGCTTTCGGGACCTTTGCGTTGAGTAGCTCTGGGGAGAGCGGTCTCCGGACGCACCCTCGCGGTGTGGTGTGGGGTCCTTGACCGCCACAGTACTTCCTACGCTGCGTTCCACTCCTTCTTTGAATTGGCCAGACTGTGGGCCCGTTGGAGGTGGGGGCTGAGTGGGATCTCAGGTAGCTCCAGGTGCTTAACAGGGGACGTAATTACTTGATGAATGGCTTAAGGTTAAGTTAGGGATGGTCGGTGGCGAATCTGGATTAGAAGAAACGCCTTATATCAAGTGCCTGTGAATTCACTCCTTGTGCCAAAAACAAATTTTATCAATTTTGAAGAGTGTCAACAGAAAACCAAAGGCATAGGATCTCCTCCTCCTCCGCCCCACCCAAACCAACCCCAAAGGTTTGGAACCTTTATAAGCGAGTCATTTCATTGCTTGAACAAGTCCTCAAACCCTTCATTGCTTGGGAATTAGTTCGCGGTTGATGGAAAATCCTGAGGAAGTCACTTGGCCTTGAGCATCCTCTATAGCGTTGCCTCTGAAAAAAATCCTCGCATCAGCGATTACAATTCGGATTGGTTGACCCTAGGCCTCTGTTTTTATCAGTCCAGAGTTTTAAAATCTAGGTATGGCATGTTTTCTAGTCCGTGGTCTCACAGCCTTTGGATAGAACATCAGTTTCTGCTGCTTTTGGAGAATGGTCTCCTGGTACCCGCTCCGTTTGAAGTCAGACCGGCTCTACATTTGGGGGGAAACATACTCTGTTATTTCCACACGATGCCCTAGTAGAGTAACAGAAACCTGTGATGATTTCTGTAAAGAAGCACTAGAGTCTTTCAGAAGAATTCCATGATTCTTTTTTTTTCTCATTTTACTATAAGCAGAAACAGACTTCAGAGGTTTTTTTTATTGTTGAGGGTTTTTTGTTTGTTTGTTTGGGGGGGGTGGGGACCTGGAGTTGGCTTTGACAGCCTCAGTCAAAAGCTTACTACTTGACCCTGAAGATACCTGAGGAAAACAGAGGGAAAAAAATTAGTGGCCCATAACCCAGATACGGCCTCAGGTTATATGGCGTGTTTTCTTCGGTCTGCATAGTTTTCTTTTTCTTTAAACCACCATTGAGAAATGGTATTTCATTTTCTGGCTCTTGGGAGCATTTGAGTTCACCTCTGTGATGAAAAACTTAGTTTCTAGCTGTTGAATATCTACCCTGAAGTTGTCCTTTTTTGAGGATCTCTTCTGATGGAAGAAGCTTCAGTATTTCATATGTTCCAGCTTTAGTTTAAGCTATAGAAGAATACAGATTCCTGAAGCTGACCAAGGTTGTTGGTCCTTAGGAACTAGTTAGGATTACTTGGGAGAGCTTTTGAACTTACCAGCGCACTACTTCCAGAAGATTCCAAATTAATTGTTGTGGATTCCTGTATTCTTGTAAATCTTGATTCTAATGTATAGCTATGGTTGAGAACTCTAAGCAAAACAACTTTAGAATTAAAAAAAAAAAGCTACAGCTATAACTAAGTAACTTTCCTAGCTTCTTGCCTTCCTGCTCTTCTTCTTTCAGTAGTATATATAACTCACAATATTTTCTGCCTCACTTTACTGAAATACCCAGTTATAGTTGAGTTATCGATAGGTCCCAAGGGTTAAGGGAGGTATGGAAGCTGAGTCAACCAAAATCTTCTGTTATCTCCCAATTCATTTATTATTTAAATAACTGAAGCTATAATTATTAAATGGAGAAAGGAAGATAAACTTTAGCTGGAAGATAAATTGTTTGTGTCCTGTGTTCTGGGTTCCTTCATTCTAGAGGCAAACCTTGAATAAACTCCAGAGACCTGGTGGGAATCTCAAATGTTTAAGACCAAGGAATGAGACAAGGAAGATGTAGTAGGATAGAGCTGACTTTAGGGGGCAGCAGTACACTATTTTGCTTTCAGTGTTAACTCTTGATTGTAGATACCTGGATTTTTTTTTTTTTTTTTTTTTTAAGATTTATTTATTTGTCAGAGAGAGCATGCACACAAGCAGGGGAGCAGCAGGCAGAGGGGAAGCAGCAGGCAGAGGGAGAAGCAGGCTTCCCGCTCAGCGGGGAGCCCAATGGGGGACTTGATTCCAGGACTCTGGAATCATGACCTGAGCCAAAGACAGACCCCATAACCACCTGAGCCACCCAGGCATCCCTGTCTAGATATTGAAACTTGATTTGATTTGATTCTGAAGTCTTTTGGCTCCTAGTTGTATTTTCTTTTTAATACTTTTTATTAGTTTATTAAGTTTATTGTAGAACACTTGGTGGTTACAAAAAGCACAAATAAAATCAAGTGATTGTCTCTAATGTCACTACTGAGAAGTAGCATTTTGGTCCATAGTCCACATTTCTGTGAATATGTGTTTGTGGTGGTTTTAATGAAATTGATACCTATCGTACATGCTGTTTTGTATTTAGTACGTTTTGATAACTTTGTCACATTTTAAGTATGTTTTTATAATGTTTCTCTAGTGGCAGCTTAATAATCTTAGGGTTCAGTAAGTATGAGTTATGAGCTGATACTGTTCTAAGTACTTTATGTGTATTAACTAATTTAATCCTCACAACCTTGTGAGGTAGATGATATCCTCATTTTACAAATGGAGAAACTGGTACAGGGTGATTAAAAGCTTGTCCTGATATATAACCTAGTAAGTGACAGAAGCAGGATTTTGATCCCAGGGAATTTAGAATTTTGTGCTTTACTATGTTACTTAATTCTATCATGGAGCGTAATATCTTTTATTTAACCAATCTTCTAAATATTCTTGCTGGGTATTTAGGTTTACCAAGGTGGTTTTTTTGTTTTTTGTTTTTTTCTGTAAAAATAAAATCTTCAACAAAGGTGAAATCCTTTTAAGTGACTCTTTTCACATCTCATATTTTTCTTAGACTAGATTCCTAGAAGTGTTATTGAGTCAAAGTATATCATGAAGTATTTGGATATCTATTACCATAATATTCCCCAGAAAGGGTGTACAATTTTGCTTTCCCAACAGTAATACTGCCTACATTGTTGTTATTATAATTTTACTAGTTTGGCCGTTGAAAAAGGACATAACATTATCTTATATATTTTTTTCTTATTTTCTTTTGTACTATCTTTTCCTCTTCTGTCTTCATTTCTTCTCTTTGGAATAGCCTGTTATGTGCAAGTGCACTTTAAAGGTCAGTTTCATGGGGAGGTCTTTGTCGGACTGTAGGGTCAAGGGGAAAAAGTCCACAAAAGCATGATGAGAAAGAATATTACCTAACATTTGTACATCTTAGACATGCCTCCAGTATCATAAATACATAAACTGTATGTCAATTAAAGGTTTAAGTTTTCTGAAGTCTTTTATATCACATTTACTTTGGATGGCTCAGTGTAATTGCCGGTGTTTTTTTTTTTTCTTTGACAGTTGACGTCCTGTTGAAAGCTGTGGGAGACACCCCTATAATGAAAACAAAGAAGTGGGCTGTAGAGCGAACCCGAACCATTCAAGGACTCATTGACTTCATCAAAAAGTTCCTTAAGCTTGTGGCTTCTGAACAGTTGGTATGAAAGTAAAAGTGGTCATTTTCCTACATAAATTCACAGTAGTTCCTAGGCAACTATGAATAACTGTTGTACACAGAAATGAATATGGAACCACATATGTTCCTTTAGTAATGTCTGTATTTCTTTTGTTGATGGAATTTCTGTACTTCATCGAATTCTCTGGGGAACTCAGAAATGAAACGATTTTGCTTTTACAGTGCAAACTGCTTTTTAACCTACTGTATTGGGTTTGTTTTTTTTTTCCTCAGTCACTGAAAGCTCATGTAGAAAGATCTCTCAGAACATTAGTACAGAGAAGTTCTGGGTTTTTTAAAATTTGTTTTTTACTATCAGTGTTCCTTCCCAATCTTCTTGAGGTAAGCAGTATATTTTTTGCGATGTCATGGAAGAACTAAGGAAGATAACCTATTTCATAATACAATACATGGTAAACACTTTGTGGTGGCAGTTGTAAGGAGTAATATTTTAAATGCCACTGGTTTTTGACTTGGTATCTCACTACAGAATTTTAAATGGCTACGTGTATTTGTTTTTTTTTTTTTTTTGTCACGTTATAAGTAATATATCAGACACCTTTATCTGCAGATCACAATCGTGGTCAATACTAACACAGGTAGTATAAGAAGTAGTTGGTAAATGAAGAATCAGTAAGTGTTTTTAAAATACGAATTAAGATTTGTATGCATTAGTGTTAGTGTTATAGTTGTTTACGAACTTAAGAATACATAAAATGAGTGAATTAATTTATTAAAGTGGTATGTGTTGGAATTTCTTTCTTTCTGTCATTGACGGGGAAGAAACTGACCTAAGAGTTTGGCTGTAAGTGACTCTCATGAAGGTTATAGGTACAAAAGTAAGTGCAGGGTAGGTCAATAAATAGAAGGTGTTTGAGGCAGGAATATCATAGAGCCAAAGAATCTTCCAGAGGAATTTGCCTTTGTGATCATTTAGAGTGAGAAAAGCATTGCTGTATAGAATTTAAAGAAATGCCAAGGATGCGTGGCAGATTATAATGTCATCCACATGCTTATGGTAGCTAAAATCACAGGAGCAGAGGACTTTACTAGCATCCAAGACCAAATGGAAACGTTAGGGGACTGAGGACACAGACTTGGGAGAAATGAGCAGAAGCTGTCTGTACGAAGGATACAGCCCGAAGAGTTGGTGAAATAGAAAACTGGAAGAGTACCAAATAATTAAGGCATTACTATCAGAAATTTCTGAGTAGAAGATGAAATGATGCCATGTCCCATGTTAGAGTCTTGACTCTTTGTGTTGCCTGTAGTCAGTAATCTGAAAACACTTGCTTGATACCGATATGTATTAGCTTGAACCATGTAAAACTGCCATCAGTCAACCATTATAACAGATAAAAATAGCAGTTTCATATGGTTCAACTTCAAACCTTTGTAGTTAATCTGATTAGTTCTTTCCATGGAAGCAATAGGAAACAAACAAAAGTAGAATCATTTTGTTGCTTCCCTTGACTGAACTAGAACTCATATCTGACTGTCATTTAGCTGTACCCCACAGTATTTTAAGCAAAATGGATGTTAAGGAAAATATAATGCTAGGGATTCAATGAAGATAGTGCTATCAGAGGCATGATTGGATCTTCACATTACCACAAAAAATGCTGTGAGTATTTATATTGGTGAGTATTTATAACAAACCTAGTTGAGGGAGTGTCCTCATGAACCCTAAAATGCATGGCATCACCAAATGTGCTGAAAGAAGCGACAGGTTCGGTCCCTGGCAGCACTGAGAGAAGGAGAGCCTAAAATAGCCAGCGTGTATTCACTGGGAAGTAGAGCAGGCCATAAGTATGGTAGCTGAAATTGAGAGGATTTGTTCCTGTGCGGTAGCAGGTGATTACAATGCTTCTGTCCCAAGGAGGGCTGAAGGGGCTGGGGCAGTCTAGCCCCAGAAGGCTCTCCAAACAGACACAGTAGGGCTCCATCGCGGGACAAGACCCCACACTGAGGGGGAACTTCTAGAAGTGAAACAAAACTGAACACGTTAGTAACATGAAAGAAGAAGGAAATAGAAATATCAGGTCAAAGTGGAGAGAAAGAGTAGAAAGCTAAAGTTGAAGAAACTACATATAAAAATAAGCAATGAGGGGCACCAGGGTGGCACAGTTGGTTAAGCAGCTGTCTCTTGGTTTCTGCTTGGGTCCCAGTCTCAGAGTCCTGTGATAGAGCCACATGTCTGGCTCTGCCCTTGGCACAGAGTCTACTTGAGATTCTTTCTTCCTATCCCTCACACCCTCCCACTCTTGCTCTCTCTCTCAAGAGAGTAAATAAGTAAATCTTTAAAAAAAAAGTGGGGGGGGCAACGGAGAAGTATCAAGGTTAAATCCCATACAATGTTATAAGAAAGAAAAATAACATTCCTGAAGACAATGAAAGCATGCCAAAAAGATGTGCCTGTGATATAAGTCAATAACTAACTTAATATTCCAGAACAAGCTAAAAGACATTAAGAAAAATGATAAAAGGTGTGAAAGAACATCAGAAATCAGCATTAGGAAAACTCAATTGAAGTGACACAGCTCAGGAAAAGAATTATAAATAAAAAAAATTATTCTGGAAATGGAGATTTAAGTAGGAGAAACCTAAGAGCAAATAACCAATAATGCCTTAGAAAAAATAGGAGGCAAAAAAACCTGTTTTATGGTGTGGGTTTTTTGTTTGTTTTTTTGTTTTTGTTTTTTTTCCTAGGAGAGGGGCAAAAGGGAGAGGGAGAGAGAATCTTAAGTAGTCTCCAGGCCCAGTGCAGAGCCTGACTCGGCTTGATCTCATGTCACTGAGACGAAATGAAGAGTTAGATGCTTAATTGACGAGCCACCCAGGAGTTCAATAAAGGCCAATTTTTTTAATCAGAAAGAAAGGTAGGGGTGCCTGACTGGCTCAGTGGATTAAAGCCTCTGCCTTCGGCTTGGGTCGTGATTCCAGGGTCCTGGGATCAAGCCCCGCATTGGGCTCTCTGCTTAGCAGGGAGCCTGCTTCTTCCTACTCTCTCTCTCTCTGCCTGCCTCTCCCCCTACTTGTGATCTCTGTCTGTCAAATAAATAAATATATAAAATCTTTAAAAAAAAAAATAAAAAGGAAGAAAAAGAAAGATAAAAAATATTTCAGAAAAGGAGGCAAGTAATTGAGTATGGATAAAGGACAGTGAACATATGGATAACAGGAGTCCCTGAAAAGGCAAAAGAACAAAATGAATATTTGAAAGTATTAAGGGAAATTTCTTAATAAGAATTGGAACTACATATTGAAAAATTATCTGACCATATCAACAAAAAATAACAAGCACCAAGAAGTATTCTGGTGAGATTAACTAGGGTTGAAATTTAAAAAAAAAAAAAAACAAAAAACAACACCTTTAGACACATAGGGAAAAAAAGAGAACATGACTTTGAAAGAAAATTAATTATCATCAAATGTTGATAGCAAAGTTATAAAGAAAGAAATTGAGATAAGAATTTTCTATGCAACAAAGCTGGCTTTATTTATTTGTTTTTTTTGTCGGTGGTGGGGCACGCATGACCGAGTGCACGCAAGCTGGGGAGAAGCCCAGGGGGATGGAGAAGAAGAGAATTTCAAGCCGACTCCATGCTGGAGCACAGAGCCTGACTCAGAGCTGATAGCAAGATCCTGAGATCATGACCTGAGCCAAAACCAAGAGTTGGATGCTTTACTGACAGAGCCACACAGGCACCCCCAAAACTGACTTTCAGTAGACATAAACTGTTAGCAATGCGCAAAAACTTGGAATTGTTCCCATGAACCCTTCCTGAGGAAGCTACTACAGAAAGTTTCATCTTGATGAAAGCAAAGACTAGCAATTTAAAAATAAAATCATTTTTTTTTGTTTTTTTTTTTTTTAAAGATTTTATTTATTTATTTGAAAGAGAGACAATGAGAGCATGAACGAGGAGAAGGTCAGAGAGAGAAGCAGACTCCCCGTGGAGCTGGGAGCCCGATGTGGGACTTGATCCCGGGACTCCAGGATCATGACCTGAGCCGAAGGCAGTCGTCCAACCAACTGAGCCACCCAGGTGTCCCAAAAATAAAATCATTTTTGAAAATAATTTTATCTTCCCGCGTTATAGCATTTAGCCAAAGATTACATCATGAACATTTTACTTTCATGGAATTTTAAATTAGGTGTATTGCTTTTCTTTATTAATCGCTTTCAGTTGCTAACTCCTGTTATACAAACCACGTTGAGTTCCTGTATTTCTCTACTACATTTACTCTACTGTCCTCTCAACACTCACAGTCCTTACTTTTGCCCATTTGCCTCCAAAGCCCTTATTCTCTTCACCTAGTAAATCCTGTTTATTTCTCAAGTATCTCCTTCAGGAAACTTCCCTGACCTTTCTGCTAGGCTGAACTGATGCCACATCTCTGTGCACTGTATACCTTGTCACTGGCACTTTCCCCATCTGTATTCTTTTATATTTGTGTATCTGCCTCTCCATTAGATCAACAACTCATTGAGGGAGGAGATCATAATAATCTTCATAGTTCCACACTTTGTGCAGTTTCCAGCACATAGGAGACATTCAGTGACTATTTGCTAAAATAAACAGTCATCGAGAGCCCTAAAATGTACCAAGACTAAAATTTCTGTGCAGTCAAAACTGCCAGGAACTAAACACAAATTATTATGTATGTATTATAGGAAATTCACATTAAAATGCACACTGATTTCTGTTAAGTTCTTGAGTTTTTAATGTTAGAACATTACTCAGTCTTAACCATGAATTGATAATGACGCGTGGACTATTTTGAAATAATTTAATCATTATAACTAGTGTCTATTGAGTACATACACCAGGCACTGATCCATGATGTGTCCTATCTCATTTTATCTTTCCTAGCAGCCCCGTGAAGCACAGGTATTGTTATTTTCCACATCCAGAAATAAGGAAATAGGGTGAGAAAGGTTATTTGTATTTGGAGCCAAAATTCAAACCTAGATCTATCTCTTAGAGAGTTTCTCTTCACAATTACACTGTATTGCCCTGGGGAGACATGGAAGCTATATTTATTCCTGTTACGGCTGGTAACCCATGTAGTATCTCTCAAGCAACTATTCTAGTGCTGTTTTGTTTTGTTTTTTCTTTAAAGACTATGTTAAGGGGCGCCTGGGTGGCTCAGTGGGTTAAAGCCTCTGCGTTCAGCTCAGGTCATGATCTCAAGGTCCTGGGATTGAGCGCCGCATCGGGTTCTCCGCTCAGTGGGGAGGCTGCTTCCCTTTCTCTCTTTGCTGCCTCTCTGTCTACTTGTGATCTCTGTCTGTCGAATAAATAAAATTTTTTAAAAAATCTTTGGAAAAAAAAAAAAAAAGACTATGTTAAGCCCAGGAAGTTTTAGCCTTAGAATTTGATTACAAAGGAAAATTGAGTATGTTACCTGCAAATAATGTGTTTTGTTTTCTAAAAAAGAAAATTATCAAAAGCCACTTTGACACTGTGGCCTTTCATTTTAGGGTCTTCAAAAATGTTTTTTTTGTTTTGTTACTGGTTTTTTTAAAAGATTTTATTTATTTATTTGAGAGAGAGAAACAGACTTCTGGCTGAGCAGGGAGCCTGATGCACGGCTGGATCCCAAACCTGAGCTGAAGGCAGACACATAACAGACTGAGGCACCCAGGTGCTCCCAGAAATGTTTTAAGTACTAGAAATGTTTTAGTGAAAATAGATCAAACTGAATAATTGAAGAGTGAATCCTTTAAAGAACAAAGCTATATTACTTTTTTACTTCAATTATGTTCCTTTTTTTAAACCTCACATGGCTGAAAGTGACTTAATAGTAGTGGTACTCCATCTGAATTGCAGTACCTTTGAGAGTTTTCCCGGGTGATAGCAAGGTATATATCTCCAACCATGTTTGTCATCACCCCCCCCCCCCCAGGCAAAGTACACATAGAGCTCAAATATTAGATTTCTTGATTTGGGGCTATGTATAGAATTTCATCAGAAGAAATTCTGTCTTTAATTATAAGTGGGAAAATGAGTTTTTCCAGTAATTACTTTCTTGAATGAACCTTCAAATGCTATTTGTAAAGACAATATTTAAAAGTTTCTTAGTTATAAAAAGTTGGGAACCACTATTCTAGGAACAGAAATTCTGTTACTTTTAGTCCTCCAGAGAAAAGATGTGATTGATCTTTGAGAGATCTCATTAGTTAAGTAAGTTACTGGAATTAGAAGGAGTCTAGGGAAGCTTTTTACAATTCTGAAAACAATTCTGAAATAGCTGACTGAACCCAGAAAAGTGCAGATTAATCAGGATACCATTAAAAATGAATCCTCTTTTTCTTTCTTGCAGTTTATTTATGTGAATCAGTCCTTTGCCCCCTCCCCAGACCAGGAAGTTGGAACCCTCTATGAGGTAATAAACATCAGTGCTTTGATTCCTAATGAAGTATGCACATCTGTGTGTATTATGTGATCTTGAACTGACAACATTTTAAGAGATGATATGCCATTCTTAGCTGTCATGAAAGGAGAGATTACTTTGTTACATCTAACACTTAGAACATAGGTGGATCTCAGACTATAGTGATGGAAGAATTAAGAAATAAGTAATACCAACAGACAATGATTTTGAAGTACAGTAATCCAGATCTGCCTCCGAAGACTTTGAAAAGGAAAGCTACATAATAAGAATGACTGTACTCAACATTCTTAGAGTTTAATGGCCGTAATCATTCATGTGTACACACTAGCACCACTACTAGAAAACAGTACAAACCTTATCGTCAGAGATGTAGGAAAGGAACAAAATAATATGCAAGCCCACCCGTGCCTAAAATGCTAGGTTTTATTTCACATTTATGATTACCGATCCGAATCGGAGAGTAATCTGGATCTGTTTAAAGAAATAGTCTTATAGATAACTTACATGGTGGAGGATATTTAATGATATATGTGACATTCTTTTCCTTAGTCTCATCTAGGAATAATAATTAAATGGAGTTTAATTTATTGCCTTTTTTTTTTTTTTTCTTTTTGTAGTGTTTTGGCAGTGATGGTAAACTGGTCCTGCATTACTGCAAATCTCAGGCCTGGGGATGAAGTACAGAGAAAAAGCTCTTCCTACCCAAATGAATCTTTGCAAAGCAAACAGCTCTGGAAAAAGTTGATACTTGTGACAAGAGACTTGTGTAGGTGCTTTACACAGCATGTATCTACTATGAATCGTGTTTATGCATAAAGAAATCCATAGAGTAGATGGACTCACAAAAATATGATTTGTATTAATACACAAATCATAAAAGTTTGGCTTTACAATATACCCATGAACTACAACTGTTCCAGGTTGGCCACCAAGGAGTTGAAAAAGGAGACTAAGACTGTAGAAAGCTTCTTTTCTACCAATTCTCAGTGACTGAAATCGTTTACTTGTAGAAAGAACACTCTGCTGCTTTTTTCCCCCACTGTGAAAGTCAGTTTTCTGAAGGATTCTTTCTGTGCGTATTCAGGGAAGTTCAATTTGAGGTATGGGTATGCCTTTCCTCATGTACAGTTAAGAAATAGTCCCATCGTCCTGCTGGGTTTATGTCTTACACAGTCCAGTAGGGGGCAGCCTAGCTGGCAGAAGGAGTTAAGGAGTTTGGTTTTATACCTTTGCTGGATGATAGTGGAGGAAAAAAGCGATTCCTGCTAATTTCTAGCAAACAACTAGCCAAGAGAGCATGCGTGTTGATACACTGGAAAGCTGCTTTAGAGAATATGCGTGGTTTAGAAATATTTTATTGGGAAACAAGGAATTTTACAAATTCTGGACAATTAAGTCATACAACTCTTCAGTCCTTTCGTTTAAATGATTGTGAGTCCTAATGGTTGTAACTGGTGTTATTTCATGTCTTATTTTTACACTGTCAGAAGCACTCAGTAAACCTAGCAACATCTTTTGAGTTTTTTACAATGTTTTTTAAGTTGAAAACACTCGAATAATTGGATAGCCTTAGATTCTATGTATATTTCATGCTATGACTAAAAGTCCCATTTTCCCTGATGCTGTTAGACTGGTAATTGAAGTGCGAGTCTGTATTATATCATTCTGTATTGTAATGGTAATGCGGTATTTCAAAAAGCATTCCAATAAATTGAATGAAATGTCCAAGCAGGATCTAAGATGTATACAAGAATTCTGAATTTTATTTTCAAAGGTAACAGGAATATATGATTTTGTCAAAAACCTTTGAACTACACTTTTGTCCCTTTAATCCCACAATGTACTTTATGGTTAATGATCTGTCCTGTATTAGCTTTAGGGTATGCTAGGGAACAATTCAGTTTACAGTGAAGAAAATCTCAGGTTAACTAAATATACATACTTTTTTGTTTGTGCTAAAGATTTTATTTGAGAGAGATTGAGAGCATGAACAGAGGAAGCAGCAGAGGCAGAGGGAGAAGCAGACTCCGAACTAAGTAGGGAGCCTGATGCAGGGCTCAACCCCAGGGCCCTGGGATCATGACCTGAGCTGAAGGCAGACGCTTAACCAACTGAGCCAGGAGCCACCATACTTTACCTGTTTAAGTCTCTAATAACCTTGAAGAATATATAGAACTTTACATTTTTTTCAAACATTATTTACACTATTATCTCTTAAATCCTTACCCAAAGGATTTTATCATTCCATGCTGACTTTGCAACATTTACTTTTAAGCCTGGATCTCACAAGTTATTGAGTGACTAGAAATTAAAATACACTTCACAAATATTTTTGCAGCTATCTGGTTTAACCTGTGTTAATTGTAATTGAACCTGGAGGTTGGAGGGCACTGAACCTTCCAATTATATGTTAAGTTTTGCGTGTTTATGAGAAAATCGATGTCTGCTATGTCGTTCTTTATCCTACTGTGCAACAGTGACCCAGAGCCCACGGAACATAGATAATAATGGAGTACAGTGCTTCTGCCTCTGACTATATCCATGCCAGGGATCTCATCAGGATTTCCCCATACTTAGGGTCTAAGGTAAGCTAAAAATATTTATTAGTGATCCAAATAAGATTTGATACTGTGTGGCATCTATGATTTCCTAGACGTTTTACCCTCAGGGGGCCTTAAATACCTATTCTACTCAGATTAGAGAACTGAAAGTGCAGACCATGCCTTAGATTATATGGTGTAAGTCAACCTGATTCATCTGTGCATAACCCAAAATGGGCTGGTCCGTGGTGTGCAAGGGGTATGAAAATGAAAATCTCCCTTCCTGCAGCTTCTGCTTCATTTTCCAAGGTTTATCCTGGGTAAGCTTCTGGCACTGGTGAAGGCAGCTACAGGCCACATAATGGAAGGGAAAGTATTCAAAACAATTCAGCAGGTGTAGTCTTAACTCTTTCTCTACATTAGCCAGCCCACACCAGATAATGCACTGTTCCTTGAATGTGCCTTTTCCTGACACCTGCTCATGCAGTTGACTTCTGGAAGTGTACCTAGAACTCCCCCCGCTTCACATCTTACCTCTCTGCCTAATTCTGATTTTAACTTTCCTTAAAGCCTGTCTAAATCATTCAGGATACTCTCTGCTTCATAAGAACACTCACAGTGAACTTCCACTATCACAGCCCTACTGCATAGTGTATTATAAATGTGTGTATCACGGCCCTACTGCATAGTTTATCATAAACGTTCATGAGCCTAGGTGGCTCAATTGGTTAAGTGACTGCCTTCAGCTCAGGTCATAATCCTGGAGTCCCGGAATACAGTCCCGCATCATGGTCCTTTCTCAGCAGGGAGTCTGCTTCTCCCTCTGACCCTCCCCCTTCTCATGCTCTCTCTCTCTCTCTCATTCCCTCTCTCAAATAAAACCTTCAAAATAAAATAAACATGCATATAACAACCTTCCGTGATTGTAATGTGCCTGAAAATAGGATCCTTTTGGTTTTTTATTTGCTACCCACACATAATATTTAGTACATTTTCTTATACATTCATAGTAATTCATTATACATTAAATGAACTTTTTAAATGCAACCTGCAAAATATTTAACATGGCAAAGCAACATAAAAGAAAATAAATCTTATATTTTTATATGGCTTAAGATAAAGCAAAATATTTGCAACATATATATGCTCTTCTAGTGTGTATGAAGAACTCATACCAGTTGGAGAAGAAAAAACCAGAAAAATGAGCAAAAAATATTAAAACGCAATTCATAGAAGAAAAAGTGTGGGGGTGATGGGTGAAGTCGTGATGGGGATTAAGGAAAGCCCTTGTGATGAGCACCAGGTGACTCATGGAATTGTTCAATCACTGTATCATACACCAGAAACTATCATACCACTGTTAACTCTATGGAAATTAAAATTTTTAAAAAATTTATAATGCAGATGCCTACTAAAGCACAAAAAGTGCAGAACCCCCTTACTTACCCAAATAACTATGAGATGCTAATTGTCACCACACTAGCAGTTGTAGAAAGCATGGTGACTGTCAGTACTGGCAAAGTTGTGGGGAGGGAAGTCCCATCATATTGTTGGTGCATGAAATATGAATGGGCACCACATTTTCAAGGCGCAGTTAAGCAAAATCTATCAAAAGTCTTGAAACAACTCTTATTTGTACCTCCCATTTATTCACTCACTAAGTGCCTATATGCCCTCAGCTTTGGTATATAAGACAAGATCCCTATTCTCAGCACTTTGGTTCTCATTAGGCAGGTTTTTAGATTTAAACTGAAATCTTGAGTGGGTTGGTTTTTTTTTTTTTTTTTGAGATTTGTTTATTTATTTGACAGAGATCACAAGTAGGCAGAGAGGCAGACAGAGAGAGAGGGAAGCAGGCTCCCCACTGAGCAGAGAGCCCAATGAGGGGCTCCATCCCAGGACCCTGAGATCATGACCTGAGCCGAAGGCAGAGGCTTAGCCCACTGAGCCACCCAGGCGCCCCTGAAATCTTGGGTGTTTTTAACTTGAATTTTTAGAAATATTGGAAAGGAAAAAGGTTTGGTACCAAATACTAGATGTACCTGTTTTCTTACATATGTTTGAATAGGTTACAAGAGTCCTTACAAATCTGCAGTTCCGTCTGTGTCCTCACAGTGGATACACGGGCATTGTATATTGACTGCTCAGAGCGGTCACCATAAAGAAGGCCCTACCGTTTTGAGACGGCTCTGTTCCTTGTCTTCTCTTCCTCCCGCCTCTTCCAACTATTTGCAGTTTGTTCTACTACCTAGACCTTTAAAGCTTATCTTTTTCCTCATTCCCACCCCAGTCACCCTAAATCATCTTAGTCAATGGCAAATCTGTTACAGTCATTGTGACTCTTTTTTTTTTTAAGGATTTTATTTATTTGAGAGAAGAGAGTGAGCAAGAGAGAGAACCGGAGCTGGGGGCGGGGGCAAGGGAGAGGGAGAAGCAGACTTCCTGATGAGCAGTGAGCCCAACATAGTGGCTAGGCTCAGGGCTCCATCCTGGAACTCCAGGATCAAGACCTGAGCCAAAGGCAGACACTTAACCTACTGAGCTCCCCCACTCCCCCAGGCACCCCGTTGTGGCTCATTCTTGGTCCCTCTCTAACAACCCACTTCCAAATCTGCAAATCCTAACAGCTTTACCTTCAAAACCCATTACAAAAGCAGCCATTTGTCCTCTCTTCTGCCAGTACTCTGGCCAAAGCCAGTGTTATCTCTGACTCAGATGGTTGTTAATAGCCAAATAATTGGCTTCCCTTGATCTGCTTGCTCTCCCAAACTCCCTCAGTGATTTACATTGTTCTGTGAGGGCCTATTTGATTTGTAGTCCCTACTTCCACTCGCTGCTGCCTCTATCTGTGTTCATCAAACACTTAATATTTCCTCCCTGGGCTTTTGCATTTAACTGTTTACCTGTAAACTTCACCCAGATGGCTACAAATCTCACTAACTTCCTTCAGTCCCTGCTGAAATACCACTTCATCAGGGAAGTGTTCCCTGAACACCTGTAAAATGACAGATCTCACCACCCTATCTATCCCACTTCTGCTGTTTTTGTCTCTATTACACATTTGTGTACATTATGTGTCCATTTCTCCACACATACTGTAATATTCGCTGGCGTGTCTATCTTCCTCTACCCCACTCCAGAGCGTAAGCCCTGTAAGGGCAGAGCCTTCATTTTGTGAAGAGTGCCTAGCATATAGCACGTGCTTTTTAAAAATGTGTTGAATGGGGCACCTGGGTGGCTCAGTGGGTTAAGCCTGTGCCTTCTGCTCAGGTCGTGATCTCAGGGTCCTGGGATCGAGCCCCACTTCAGGCTCTGCTCAGCGGGGAGCCTGCTTCCCTCTCTCCCTGCCTGCCTCTCTGCCTACTTGTGATCTCTCTCTCTGTCAAATAAATAAAATCTTTTTAAAAAATAAAAAAATAAAAATGTGTTGAATGCATGGATAGACCATTATTTCCAGACCTTTAGTAACTCCTGTTCCCTTCTGTGGATATCTACCCTACATCAGTGTCTGAAAATGTGATAATCATTGCCCTGGGCAATGCCGAGTACAGTGGAAGTACTACTTCCTTGGGTCTAGGTATTCTACTTTTTGTTAATAGAGCCTATGATGCCAATCATTTTCCTCTTATTCTAATTTCTTCCTCTTCCTCCCGCGCCGCCTCCTCCTCCTTTTCAGCAGTGTAACTGTTCAGGGAAGAATTCAGGTGTCCTTTGCACAGAAACCAGAAACAACTGAGAGAAGTCTGCTGGATTTGAATTCACTACCCCAGGATCCCTAAAGAAAACCAAGCAATCGAATTATTCTATTCTAGACAATTACTTCTGTTTTCCTAACTTTGCCCTTCATGCATACACAGGGCACTGTGTGCTCAGCACTGAAGGGGATACAAAAATAAAATGTAAGCAGAGACTGTCCTAAAGGTTCTGTGTGTCACATTATGATTCCCATAAGCAACTATTACATGCTCTGATGTAGTAAGTGCCCTAAGAAGTTCAGTCCCCCAGTTCAGCGGGATATACAGTTCACTCGAGAGAAAAGCATTTGAGCTAAGACCTTCTAGAATCTAGTCAGGAGAAGAAGCTTAATCAAAAGAATGGATTGGGTAAACACAAGATAGTTGCTACTTCCATTTTGCTGAAAGATCTATTTGTTAAAAAAAAGTAAATAATGGCAAAGGGTGGAGAACTTCGAAT